CTTTACCGAAAGAACCAAGAATATGAATCCCTGCAGTCATGAAAGCTTTAAATCAAAATATGCCTCTGCCTCTTTGTATATACACTGTGCCTAGCCTTTCTTTATAAATATATTTATTCAAGAAGATATCTTGGTTAGATGTTTTATCGTACGAAAAAAGTGATAAAATTAGTTTTTCATAGGCCCTTTAGTTTTCATCGGCCCTAGGCGCAGTGCCTACTGTGCCTATTGGATAATATGGCCCTGCTGGGTACGAACAGAACACATCGATTTGATTATCACGCCTTATGCTCGTACTTTACAAATAAATTCCATAACAATATTAATCTCTCTTGCTGTAACTGCAATTTAGCAGATGTCATTGCTGGCTGCGTAAACAAAAAACACATTGCAAATCTATCATATTCTAGATTTGAAGCTTTCGTGACTGCAAGGATCCATACTCTTTGGCTCTATTCGGTAAAGTCACGGTAAAAATAAAATAACAAAAATCACGACGTTTCGGCCACAACACAAGTGGCCTTCATCAGGTATCTAGCATACTTCGCAGCATTTTAACTTCATTAATCTTTTTGAAAAATTGCTGTTGAAAGACACGCTGAGATGGCCAAAGTAAACCTTTGCCTAACAACATGATTGTTTATTTTATACCATAAGTATTAGCTGGGACAATATAAACACTTTTAATAATTCACACTGTGTTAATTTGTATGCATCAAATCAAACGGATGACTTGCTGCATCGGCATTCACAGCTTGCGTCTTTTCGCCTAAGAAACGCTTTACCTAAAAATACCATCATACATTCATTAGATCCCAGACCGTTCCTTAAGCACTAAGCAAGGTCGAGGCTTTAAGAGAAGTATACATGGAATTCTTACGCTCCAACAATGAAATTAAAATTTCCGCCTCCATCCCCCCCCCCAATTTAATATCTGCGCAGTGATTGTTTTATTTTTAACACGTAGGCTTTCGCGAAGAATATTATCCATGAAAGAGGGATTTTTTTTGGGTTAGATGGCATAAATATACCTGTGTCGTTAAACCCACCAATACTCGAGTTGTAAACGTTGTGAGTTTACTCTCCAACACAACCGGTGTGCTGAACTCGTAACGAATCGGCATGTTTTGTTCGTGTAACAAACCTTACTCTTGTCTAGGTGGTGGCAGGTTTAATGGCACATTTATATTTATGCGACATAACCCCAAAAAAACCCCTCTAATATGGATTTTCTTTGTTAAATGCATTGGACTGTTAATATATTGTCAGTTGGACTGACTCACATTTTCATTTACGCTGCCTCTTGGGCATAGACTTGAAGCTGCCAGGATTCATACCCAAAATGTGATTCCACGGAGCCATGGTGCAGGTGCGGTCCAAACTGTCCATGCGGGATTACGAGTGTCTGTAAACGCTGTGTCTGTGGCCGCCGATGGATTTAATGAAGTATTTTGCACGGACGGTCGGGTGTCACAATGAATTTGCTATGCTTAAGCAGCACCGCATCTAATTTTGCTGAACGTTTGCTAAATGAGCATTGCCAAACTGCATTGCTGAGCCCTGGAGGTTTGTTAGCTTCAAGATGTTTTTTTTCTGCTTTTATGGTTCAAACGAAATTAACTATTTTTGATCGGAATGTTTTTTTTTGTGATTGTGAAAGCTCAACAAAACAAATTGCAGCCCTGGTTATTTTTAACAAGCAAATGGTAATTATAACAGCAGTGATAAAAACAAAATTTAATTACTTAAAGGAGGTAACAGAACGTTACACCTATTATTTTTTTGTTCCCCCCCCCCCAAGAAATTTGAGCAACACAGATTACAATGTGTAACACAATTTTTGTTCCTGGGTACTGTTATTTTTTTAATTGCTTATGCCTAAAAAGTATAGAAAATGGCTATTATTCCCCACAAACTTTTATTTTGTGACCAGGACTTTATGTGAACGAAATACACAAATGCATACGGTTTCTCTTTGAAAATAGGTAAATTTCAAATATCACTGTCCTGTACTTTTGAGGTATAAGCATTTCGGAAATAACACTTACTACCCAGGGAAAAAAACATATTATTATTGTTACACAGTGTTATTTTTAGGATAGCAAATTTATACTTTAAATAATGCACAGGAAATGTGTGGTTTGAAGTGCAGTACTGAAAAATGTGGTCTTGCGTTTTTACGCCACAAACTTCTGACACACTTTCCAGCCATTGCCTTCGTGCCGCTTTACAAACTTTTATCACCACGACATTTATGCCTTCGTGATGTTAGGGTTTTTTGTATCTTATTTTATTTCGCTTCTTTATCCAGGAAAACCTCAGTTAGTCTCATGATTATTTAGGATGCTCTCGCCAAGTATTTTTTGTTGCAGTTGGGGGCGATGCTTACAATGTGTATTCCAATGAAGAAATTTGTGTGGTGCGTTATAACATTTGGCACATTTGGACCATCACACAATGACCTACTCTTGCGAATGATGCCATGGGATCTTTAACTCCTACTCTGAAGCAGACAGCACGAATTTTTCTTAACGGATAATAAAGCCACAATAATAACCAGGACGGCCACTGGATTCGAACCGTGATCCTCTGCAACAAGTGGCAAATGGACTGCCGCTGGGCCGCGTCACCAACACAGGTGTTCTGCAATTTGACAAGGAGATAATCTAGGTAGAATATTCGGATTGGTTAAGTGCCAGCCTTATCGGGAGTGTGTGCAGGCATAATCAGTGCACAGTCGGATGGAGCGCTGTACGCTTATAGTCATGGATAAGAGTGTGATAGCAAACCAACTTAATTGATGAAATACTGAGTAAAATACAAAGACACTCAGTTCATTGGGTAAGCACCTGGCAAATGAATATTTCATTATGGTCTAAAATAAGTAATGCATACACTAGCACGTAGCATCTGTTAATTAAAACAAATTGAATGAGAAGTGAGAATACAGTGAAGTAAGTTTCTCACACTTGGATAATGATTTCTTAATGTCGACTGTGTATTTCAGCGTTAAATATTGGCTAAATCTGCTACAATTAACTAAAGCGTAATTGGTAGAAATATATAATGGTGGTGAATGGTCATGTAGTTATTTTTTTACTTATTTATTTCTGTTCACAACTTTAAAAACTAATATTGATATTTTTCCCCAACAGCATTTCCTATTATCATTATGATTATTATAAAGCAGAATTATTATGGGAGGAAAACTGAAAACTCAAGAGTATATAAACTTGAATTGTAACAGATGAATAGATTTAGGGTATGTTATTCTAGTTCTGTTTAGGTTAAACAGTGTTTGTTATTTGAATAAATTACATTGTGTTTCATTCGGTTTTTTTTACCTGTCATAATTAATACTGGGATGGAGTGGTGATGAAGCGGTTAGCATACTGTGCTATAAACTCGTTTTTCTGAATGCTATTCGCAGCCATGGCTAACGTGAGTGGCGAGTGATATCTTAACGTGAGTGGCGAGTGATATCTTAACCTGGGACCATCTCACTGAAGCGCGTTGTAAAGTATCATCATACAACCCCCACAACTAACAAGGAATGGGAAGATCTTCATCCTATAGTGGATTGATACAGGCCTAAAAATATATATTGCTAATCAATGCTACATCTGTCAACACGGCTTCATTTCTTTAAGGTGTTACCAGATCTGGCACCGCAATGTGCTGGTTGCACTTTCTGCTATGGTCTATCTCAATTGAGATTCTTACAGCTCATTTAAATGCTAATGCACAATTGAATGTGTAGGTGGATGGATTCCTAATTATGTGCATTATTGCGTGTCTCCAATTTTGTGCTCTTTTTGTCTTCTGTCGAAACACGAATATAATTATAAGGGCTCGTGTACGAGTTGTGAGTGCTGTAAAATGTTCCAACCCCGTGCAGCCTGCTCGCGTTGACGGACACCTAATTTTGTGCAGGTGTCCTTAAGCGGTGAGCCGATCGCCTTCGGACCATGGGCACGATCGAGAGGTCGATCGGGGCCGATCAATTTAATTATACGCTTGTGCGCTAATGAAACACTTGCAAAAAACGTGCAAGGCTTGCAAAGTCTGAAACTCGCAAACATTGTTGGTGTTCACAAACCCGTGGAGAGTCACGCACTTAATCTTCTCTGTAGGGTTCTGCGTTCATAGGAAACGATCCGATTTCTGTTCGCTTCATTGCTCGACTTCACATTATTTGTTTTGCTTTTGGCATTTTGGTGACCCAGGTCGGTCTTGTAAATTAGGCCTATCCCGTGATCTTCTGAGTTCTCACGTGGAGCGCTGCGGTGGTGATATGTTGCCTCCCTGGCCTGGTTATAAAGGAGGTTGTGGGTTCGATCTTGACCTTTAACACCTGTATATTTGGAATTCACATGTTTTCCCCCGTGGTTGCATGAATTTTTCTCCGGGTTCTGTTTTTCCCACCAAATTTTTAAAACACGCTTTGGGAATATTTGGCTCCTATAACTTCCCACATTTGATAATAAAGCCATTGTGATGAGCTATCACGTGTGGCCAGGTCGCCTCTGAAAGAGAGCTAATAGCTCAGTGAGTTTTATCTGGTAAAATAAAAGTAGTAGTAATTGACTTTGGGGCATTGCATGGGAGTGGAATCTCGGAGGCGGTAGTTGGAGCTCTGACTTTTGGAATTGATTGGGGAGGGAGGTGAGATTAAAAAATAACACATTTCCTGGTGCACGAATGTAATATTTACTTTAACGATGAAAACTACCCAAAGTGTTTGAGGTATGAACCATGTATATCTAGATGCTCAATGATATATAGATGCTCAATGATTTTAGCTCATGTCCTAGGAGGAGGGGGCTTTGTATTCGAATTGAAACCACTAATTGTGATAAAAAGCATTTATGTAATTACACATTTATCCAATTTGCAATGTTTTGGTGACCCCCATCAAGTCTCTTGTGACTTGCTGAGCGATGTCGTCTACTTTACACGAACAACATCATGCCCCGTGTTTTCCTGCCTGGTCAGAGCAGCTGGAGAGCGGAGCATCGCTGCTGCAGCCCAACAACCGTGGCCTGCTCCCCTGGCACTGTGCCGCCATGCAGGGCCGGTCCGATATGCTGGCGCTGCTGCTGGCTGCGTGGCCAGGGGCTCGCGAGAACCTCGTCCGTGAGGGAGCGTCGTCTGCGTCACCCAGCCCGGCCTACCTGGCCACGGCGTGCGGATTCTTGACTTGCACCCGCTGGTAACTTGGGGGTGGCGACGTGTGCTCGCTGGTAACTTGATGGGTGCAACGCTACGTGGTGGTGGTGGTGCAGTGCGCTGACCAGCCCCTTACCATCCGGGAGGTTGAGCTCCCCCCCCCCTGCTAAACACTGCCCCCCCCCCCCCACCCTTCTGACTTTTTAGAGTTGAGTCCAAATTTGTTGGGACAACCTTTCCGCTCTTACATAGAGGGTGAGAGCTAGAGCAAAATGCATGATAACCAAAAGCAGACCGTATCATTCATTATTCTGTTCAGCATTTAAATGTGTTTAAAGTCTGTTCGACATTGGCTTATCTTGCCCTCCCTCAATTTATGAATGCCCTCCTTTAAAAAAGGTCAAGCTTACGGGTTGGCGCTGACCGGGTCAGAACATTTTTCTCATCAAGCCAGAGTCAAAGTGTCTTCGTACTCGCGCAAGAACTTGCCGGTGTTCACCTCAGTTGGTGTTTTGAGCCAGAGGTGGAAATTCAACGTTATTATGATGGAGGCCAGTCCAACTTGTAAAGGATGACCATTGTTACTCTTTGAAACGTGGTACTATTAGTTTATTAACCACAGAGAGATGACGGGCTGAGTCAACCGCTAGCCAGGATGTGAACCAGCAATCAATAGAAATTGAGTCAAACACTCTTTTCATAACATTACTGTCTTGTGTTGGTTGGTGCTATTTTTTGGTGAACTAGCTTCTTTGCCAATCCAAGGACGGGTGTATATTGCAGTAAATCTGAAATATTCAATAGAAAAATTGTTCCGCTCATGATTATTAATGAGGGGGGCGTTGCCCCATGTGGAGTGACGTCACCCGCTCATGATTATTAAGGAGGGGAGGGGTGCGGTATGTTGGAGTGCACGACTTTCTTGTGCGTTCGTGTAAATTTCCACGCGGGCATGAATATTAATGAAGGGGGGGTGGGCCTCATGTGGAGTAACGTCACACGCGGGACGGACAGACATTTCTGAGTGATTATAGTAGGTAATTATTAAAAATACCAATGGCGAATTACATGGCCGGGAGAGTTTTCACCGTGGAGATTGAGCGATGAAATCAGCTCGTGTGTAGGTGTTAGATGGATTGTTATATCGCAGGACCATTTGAGATGGTGATGGCTTGTTGAAATCTGCATTCAGCAGTGGATTGATCATGGCTGACAAATATAAAAAAATGTGTGCATTAATAATACCTTTACTTAATAATAACCATAATATAATGATCACCATTGCATAGTTGATTAGAATTTGTGTGCATTAACTTGCAATTACATGAAAATAATGAACTGTACATTCGGGGTAATTAGGAACATTTGGCTAACAATTAAATTAGTAATTGTTTTATAAGTATTGCAGAGTTCTAAAGAAGATATTAAATAATGAATTCGTTGCACTTTAATCCCAACGTTTATTCTGATGTTGCACACATTTGCTTTATGAAATAAAACAAACAGCCCTGTTGTTTATACATCTTAATGGAAGTCCCAGCGAAGAACAATCCATTAACTAGGCACACATAGCTCTTGCAAAAATTTTGGGCTCGGGCATGCTATGTCTGGGATGCTGTCGTGTGGTGTAATGGTTTGCACACTGTACTTCAATCCAGAGGTCGCCGGGTCACTCTCCCAGCACGGCAGTTAAAACAAATCCCACCGCCTCTCTTCACCAAGCAGTATAAATGGGTGCACCACAGTCTGTTGGCAGGTCGCGTGTGGTGGGGTAAAGTACTCCCACCTCTTTTAAAACGCCTGACCACCTTGAAAGAGTAAGTAGTGTGCCCTCTAAAGGAACTCTCTAGAAGGAACTTCTAGAGGCGGTCCTTCCACCAACAGTGGCATGAGAATGACATTTCAGGGCTACACTTTTGCCATCTACCTTTTCTGCAATGTCCATCCTAATGTTCTGTGTCCACAGGCTCTTCTCACAAGGCTTCCCGTTCAAGGAGAGCGAGGCAGACAAGCTGCTCCTGGGCATCCTGCGCAAGGAGATTGAGCTGTAAGTTGCTTACGAGGCCCTCGCCACTAAAGTGCGAGTCTAAGAATGGAGTGGCGGTGCTGTCTGCTGCATGATGGTACCGTCTCTGACCAGCTAACTCTGCGCCAGCTATACCCCCGTGATCAGTGCTGTCACAGCCGAAACGGCACAGAGCTGATGATTTGATGTGTACAGCCACCTGATATTTTTTTTCCAATTTTCATGTCAGATACCCCATCACCTTATAATTTGCAAATTTGAAATATTTCCTCAACTTTATTATAAAAAAATAAATACCAGCCCACCTTAACTGCATTTGTTTCACAAGAGATAATGAATGTCAAAGATCTTATATAGTGAAATGAAGGCCTTTAATTGATTGACAGAAAAGCAAACCCACTTGGAAACAACTTATATTCAACCCAGAGATCAATTAATCACACCTGACATGGATGATTGATAAAATATAGAGGTGAACGGCTTCCTCTTGAAAAACTTGACCCCATGCCTCACCACTCAAGTCAACTTCAGAACATGGCACCCTGCGGAGACGCCGAGTTAATCCACAGGGGAGCAGCGTGCAGCTGCCCACAGTGACTTTACACTTTAAGGAGCCGTATAAAAACAGGAATGGGTGATGTGTGTTGTTGGGCCGCCTCAGGTTCAATTGAGTACTGACTAACCACCCACTACTTCCTGTTCAAAAGTCAGATTGTGTTGCTCACCGATCTGCGTTCGGGTTGTACCGCGAGTCGTTCGGCACGACGTCCGATGTGATCGCTCTTAGTGCTGGGAGCTTCTGCTCCTGAATAAACTCCCCAGCACATGGACCGAAACGTCGGACGCCGTGCCGAACCACATGCGGTGCAACCCGAAAACAATCGGAGAGCTGTACGACACAACTGCTAAAAACCTACACAGCGGTGTTAGTTTGTGTTTTTCTATTCATTGCTGACCAACAATGGTGATCATGAGTTTTAAGTGTGCGTGATGGACTCCCACACAATACCGCTTTGTTTTTTATTATTCTGTGGGCCGTGGCTTCTCTTCAAACAAATACGCTGCTCTGTGGAAAAAGCTTCTGCTGTCCGCTGCACTTCTGTTGAAATCTAATGCACTTTAACAGGACAATATGCATTACTGTGAGACAAAATTCACAAATTAACTGCAGAAGTGTGTTGCTGTTTTCTGCACCAGTGCGGAAAATCTGCTTCGGTGGGAAAAAAAAAACCATATGTGCTGGAGTCGCCAGGGTTATGGCATGACTATCCATACAAGTTTAAAGTGCCTGGGTGCATGCACAGTGGTTTTTTTTTTACAGTATCTTGTCTTATGTTGTTCACAAAATATCGTTTACTCATTGTTGTTATAATTTATATTTTTTCAACCATTGATTTCAATGTGTTATCATATACAGCACAATTGGAGTGATGTAGTAGGAAGCCTGTTTTATAATTAGCTGTTGGGGATAGGGATGGGGGCACTCAGGGTAGGGTTGGCACCTATCCTGGTATTTTCAGGATCGACCCTTCATTTTTGGTAGCTGCTGTTCCGGGAAATCTGGAAGTCTTCCCGGAACATTACAAGTCCCAGCTTTTGTCAGTTGAGTACAGTAATAATAATACTGCAATACACAACTCAACACATTGCATTTACATTAAATTATCCCCCTCAACTAGTATTGTGAGATCATCTTCTCATGGATATGTCCCAGTTTTTTTGTGCCTTAGAGGTGGCAACCTGAGAACTTGTACAGATTATGTTATCCACGTTTATCTGCACAAATGGCTCCTTTTATACCCGAGCGGTACAGCATGGACAAAAAGGGACAATACAATCACTTTGCTGTCACTTCTGGCTCACGTCTTGTATTCACCCACAAGCTTGGATAAAATCATGAGTTAGATTCTTCCCAGTAAATCCTCTCTTCCATGCTAAAGCCTCACAATGTTATTAATTTTGAGGCACTTCCAGGCCGCTCCCTTTTATCTGTGTGGAGCATCCGATTATATTATAGGAGGGATTGTCACGTGGATAATCGGGATATTGCACAGATCGAATCTGGCGCAACAGACAAAAGGCAGCCCGGATATATTCGGTGTATGGATAAGGGAAGTTTTACGGCATTTAACTTGAGCAATAAGTAACATTTAGGTTTGTGTTTTCTTCCAATGTGCTCCCTTCCTGTGTGGCTCTTTCCATGGTGCACGGAGTAAATAATTTAATGAACGGTTGAATGAATAAATAATGCCTTAGAAATCTGTGTTGTCGCTGAAATAAATTGCACAACAGTAGCACGATGCCAACAACACAATAACTGAGCATCTGGGGCATTAACCAAAGGGCACTGCCCTTAAAGAGACCCTTAATTGCCTGACAGTAATTAAGTATGCAACTGCAACTGCAGATTTTATTCAAAATATTGTGTACAAAACTTCTGCAGGGTTTTAAGTGACAAGAAAAATATATGGAAGTAATTAATTTAGACATTTTAATACCTAGGCAATAGCTTCCCAATATACTGCAAGTGTATTATTTTGTATGCAGATAAAAAGCTAAACAAATATCCGTGAATGTTTATGCAGAGGATGTTGAAAAATTATATGCAGTGCGTGTGTATGCATGTACTGTATAAGTGAGCGGTAATGCAGCGGTTAGCTCAGCACGTGGTTAGCGCGCTGCGCAATAACCACGACAACACCCGAGTTAAATTGCTGCTCACGGCCAACAGCAGTGACGATTATTTGAACCGGCCCTGGGCCTCCCCTAGGTGGACCCAGCCTCAAATGAGTTCCTGGTGCGGTGTGTAGTAAACATCGCCACTGGGGAGACAGAAACGGTCGAGAGTGGTGCTGGCCACCCACCCCCTCGTGTACCGTTCCGGCCTTCATAGGTGCTCACTAACAGCACTGTGCCCCAACAGTCTGTGCTATCGCCAATTGTTTACCCAGAAAGCCTCACCACGTCTCAAGGCTCTGGTTAGGGAGTGTCCTGCACTGATATGTTTGGCCAATACCATTAATTACTGAGTTTGCATTTGACTTGTTTTTATTAAAATATGAAATACATAAGTGCTATTTATTCCGATAAAAGAGGTTTAAAAAATGTGTAGTGAGAATACAAAATTGTATGTCCTTCCATAAAACAATTATACTTGCGGACAGGAAAAATCAATACATCCTATTTATATTTTCTTCAAACACAAGTTTAGAAAACAGTGAATATGTTTTAATTCAAATTAAGCCACACTGGATGGATTCTATACAATTTCAGACAGTTTTATAATCAAGAGAAAACTATAAATACAATTCTATATTGCAAAATGTATATTCAATCAACTTACACTCGTACATGTTATTCGAATTGCCGAGTTAATTCTCATCCTCGTCTTTGAAAACACGGCCATTGGAGGCCAAGTGATTGAGCCTGGATTGTGCTTGTCTGGGCCAGCACCCCACGTTAATCAGGTGTCATAGGCTGCTGTGGGGCTACATTGTCAGCAGAGAGCCGTGTGTGTTGTCTATGTTTCCCCTGCATTGGCAACCGGCACTGACTTGGAGTGGTGAAGTATGGTGGAATAACCTTCCACGACCCGCACCACTTGGGGAGGCCCACATTTAGCAGTGGGACTGACAAGCGGTACATTTTAATGCGCTCACATCTACCGTTGTAACAGTGATATTCCTCTCTGTATATATGTGCATCAGACAAGGGAGGTGGGTTCAAGGTCTCCTCTTTTACCATGTGCTACTTTTTAATATGTTGTTATCAAAACCTTTTGTTCATCTTTACAGCCACTGCAGTGTGTAGACAGCGTTTTAATATAAATGTTGAAACTGTGTAAATGTGGAATGGTGCAAAGAAATGTCAGGAGGTTTTGAAGCTCTTCCATCCAAGCATTGTCTATCCCTTGTTAAATGCCACCTGGATCTCATTCTGTTATTTGCGTTTGAAAAAAACAATAGGGCCATCTTCCAGTATACCTATAATGGGCGTCCCAAACCTTTTAAAGTTTATGTTTTGTTACAGACTGCAAAAATATGTCCCGTGCAATCTGCTTCCTTTGGTTTCACTTAATTTGCTCCTTTGGTACTCTCCGCTGTGTGTGTTTAACTTATGAAACCCATATAATTACGGTCACATATTGGTTCAATTCCATTTGAGTATTTTTTTTTCTCTGCAAGCAGCAGTGGCTCATGACTCCAGTGTGGACAGTCCACACACAGACCCTGTTACTGGTCGTCCAATTGCAGGTGACACGTCATCATCATGAACCATGATCAATACATTGCTAGATGAAGGCCCAAACCCACTTTTCTTAACAGGTTATTAGTTAACTTTTCATTAATAGGTGACGTGTGCTGGTGGTGACATGTTTAGTGATTCACCACTCCCTCCCCAGCGATTGGATGAGTTATTGCAATGCAGGGTGGTGATTTTATCCAAAATATATTTACGTGTTTACATTGAGGTGACTCTAGTGGCCTCTAGTGGCTACATGCGTCATCTCAATCAATTTACATACAACACATGTAATGCAGTATATGAATCTTTGTTAATCCACTCCTGGACGAAGGCCTTCCCCATGTGTTGGTCGAGGGGAATTTATCCACTTCACCGTGCTAGTCAATGTGGATTGGTAAAGGGGAGGCCCAGGGGGAGTTCAGATATAAACTAAACTATTTTTTTTTATTTTACCAGGTAAGGTCCACTGAGCTATAACGCTCTTTTTCAAAAGCGACCTGGCTAGAAATAATAGGGAAAAAACCAGAGGACCTGGAGAAAAATCCACGCGACCACGGGGAGAACATGCAAACTCCAAATATACAGGCATCAGGGTCGGGATTGAACCCGCGAACTCCTGAATACCAGGCGAGGTAGTTAACATCCTGCTACAGTGGCGCCCACATATCACTCACCACCGATGGTAGCTGTGGTCAGGAATCAAAAATAAATCTCTGGGTTCATAGCACAACGTACTAACAATTGTGCAATCACAGCTCCCCACCCCCACCTCACACACACAATAATTAATTTCAAACAGATCTTTTTTAGACACGTGTTTCAATGAATGTATCATTAACTTAAAAATTGTTAGTAATCAATAAATGAGTGCATCATTGCATCCGTAGTACAATTATTAATTTGAATGTAGAGGCAGTGCATTGTGCATCAGTACTGGGTCATCAATCATTTCCTCTTGGAAGCTGCATGGATTTTATGGGAATCTCAAAGTGGAATATTTCTCTTTCCTAAACGAGAGCCATGCACCACTACTGACGACACCCCAGAAACAAACCAACCCATCACGTGATTCCATGTTGCACCGTAACAGTTATAGCTATGCTGAGTGTGATTTTTTTTGTTGGTTACTGCCATTGTGGAGATCATAGTTCATTGAATCGGTTACAGTTCCTGTTCTGGACACATTATTCACTTACACAAATTACAATCTTGGGATCACTCAAAGGTGCCAGGGTAAGAGGAACACCATGATCTGACTGGACATCAAACATTGCATTCCACATTAAACTGTCTCATCTGAAAGAAGCAGTGACTGACAGAGGAGTGGAGATGTGACTGCGAGGAAACATTGAAGGTCATGGCCATGCCCCAAAGGCCCAAACGTCCATCGGACTAGAAGAATTCTCCCAAGAGGAGCCATGCAGAAGGTGCTCACTCACTAGAGGCTGTTTTTCTTTTCTTTGTTATTACAGAGATGATCCGAGAGAGACGGTGGAGTTTCTGTTGAATAACGGTGCAAGTGTCAACGCTGAGACTCCACAAGGCGACAGGTACAGCCGTGCACACACACACACACATGTCGCACTCACTCTGACAAACGGCACTGATAGCCTCGTTTTTCTTTGGTGAATGAAGGCTCTCCGCTCTCAGCGTTCCTCTCCGCATTGCACTCTTTCTTTTCACTATTGTACAGCTGAGAAAACATGAAGCTGCGTCTGTCATAATCAGTGCATTTAATTTTTGGCACCAATAGAACAAAAAAACAGTTTACACATCACTATAGAGGGCCAAAAGGAGTTTGCTTTTTGGTTCTATTTGCGCATTTCACTTGTTTATTAAAGGACAACAAATGTAAATATGGACGTTTCCATTGTTTTGATATGTTGAAAGACAAATGAGGTACGCGTATGTTGAACTTCGTTCACACAGTACGTAGGCAACCCTGTCAAACGGAAGCATAGAGTATAGTGTGGTCAAAATATTTTTACTCGGGTTTTCTAACTTACTGTGATGACTTGTGCTGTTCCAAATTAAATGGGCACTGTTAAATGCTACAAGCTGCTGCTGTGCTTTCTTTGCTGTTAGCCCCAGGGATGGTAGCCTTGTGTCTTGTGTCTGGGATGGCATCATGAGTGTGCCCTCGTGATATTCTGGCCCTCAATCAAATGCTCTGAGAATGCGTTGTGCCTGAGCTTTATAGATAGAGGAGTTCTCCATCTGCCAGTAGCTTTATATTGGCATCACTCTTATTTCAATATCATCACGCTCTTTTTAGAATGAGATCCGTTGTCATACACTCACCGTTACTGTAGCATGACTATAAATCACCCAGAATTTGCATGATCTTGTCAGATCTTGGAAGCTTAGCAGGATTGAACCTAGATAGTGTTCGGATGGACAGCGACCACCGTGACCAGCGAACAAGTATACATAGGGCAGTGCAGCAATATGGATTGTGATTTTTCACTCCTCCCAACCTTCACCAACCAGTACTGACCGGCGTGGTGAAGTACAGTCTTGTCGTCATATATCCCTCATGCCTGCAAGGCATGTGGAGGTTCTCATCCAGCAGCGGATTCAAAATGGGCTGTTCATGTACCATTACAGAGTTGTACTTACTCCTACGCAGGAGCGCTAGTGATAGACGGTGTCCTTTGCCGTGGGCAAGTGGACCACATGCGATGATATTGGGATCCAAAAAGCGTAGCTTTTATTTTGGAGAGGCCATGTGCTCCGAGTCCCCACACACTTTGTGGTTGATGCGCCACTGAGATTGGCGCTGCAATAAGAATACGCTCACAGATGCACATTGTATTAATTTAAAAATGGCACACCTTTCAAGGGAACATTTGAGTGGGGTTGCATTTTGATTAGCATGTATAACGTGAAAGAAGTTCGACATACATACATTTGGACCAAAACTATTTTTTGTAGCCCTGAACCAGCAGTAGGAAATTTCCCCAATCCCATGGTCGAGGCCAGTCTATCCTAAAGACAATCAGTGTTAATATTCTTTGGGTCTTTCGGTAAAGTCACGTAGATAGGTTCAAAGAAAATAACAAAACTACGTTTTTTTTTCCTGATGGCGACCGCTTGTGTTGCGATCGAAACGTAGTTTTTTGTTATTTTGTTATTTTCTTTTAACATATCTACGTGAGTTTACCGAAAGACCCCAAAAAATATGAATTCCTGCAGTCACGAAAGCTTTAAGTCAAGAATCAGTGTTAACTTCCCACAATGTGTACTCGATCAGCTGTGGAAGATGCTCATTGAATACGCCACTCGCTGGCTTGGATTTGAGCTCTTGCAAACCCTCTTGTTAGGAGTTCAGCTCTGTGTGGACCATTCTAAAAATAACAAAAACCGCAACGTGGATCTGATTGTCTATTCATAGTTCCCAGATTTCACAAACAATTTAGATCAAAAGCATTTAATGTAGCTGCCCCAAATAGTTTGGAAGCACCTAGTTTCGTCTCTTGGAATCTCCATTACGCCATCTCTGTCCACGTTAAACTGACTCTTTTAAAATCACGAAAGTTTAAGTGTGAATGTAATTTTACAAAACAATTGCTATTATTAATTTTTTTTCTATTTGTAATTGTTTAATGTTTTGATGTTGTCTGCCAGCCGAGTGGCCCTTGAATAAGAACTTGTTAGCTCAATCGGGAAATAAACTTCTGATGGCATCGCCATGTCTGTACATCTTATTATTCTTCATAATTGTATGCCATGCCAAATGACAGTTTTTTTTCACTACCATGGTCACAAATCTTGGGGGTTGTCTGATATAAATAATGCTTTGTAATGATCTTGTCACTTCTCAAACTCATAGAGGATGGTATGTGTTACTCTGGGCAGTGTCATTGGCTTTACAGCCCAGGAGATTGGCTATAAAAGGTTTCTTTATTTTTATTCAAAAAGTTTGGGCAAGAAATCAAACTGTCCGCTCCGATAGCCCAATATAAAATAAGCTCTCACAACACCCTACGGATACAGACCACTTCTCTCTCTCGTTTTAAGTATAAAATAAAACAATGTTGAAGTAATTGCCAGTTGTGATGATTTTCTACCTAAGGTTTCAACGTATGCACAATCTGTACGAGTGTTTATGCAGTGAAAATGTAATCCTGCGACAATGCAACTATTCCTGAGCGTAGCATGCCGCTGGTAATGCAATGGCTAGCACACTAGACCAGAGGTTGCCGGTTCCATCTCCCGGCACGGCGTTTAAATAATGGACAAGTTTTGGTCGGAAATTTGCTATTTGGTGGGGTAAAGTGTGGGTACTCCCGCCTCTTCTAGGACAGACTTGTCGGCATGGTAGAGAAGGCAAAAGATACCCTCCAGAAGGGGCTCTGTAGAGCCCCCTCTAGTGGAGGCCCTACCACCAGCAGTGGGGTACGCAAGCAGTTGCAGGGCTGTATCCTCTACTGAAACACATTATGACCTTAACAGAGATGGCCCACTGTCTCCGCTTCCCACTCCTGCAACGCAATCATATTTTTTTGTTGTTGCAATCAATGGATTAGTGATAACTGCAGGTGAAACTGAGCGAATCATATGAATTCAGTAAAAAAAACACGCATAGAACCAGCTCAATTTCAGTAAAAATATGTTGTATTAGCTAATCGTTTTAATTTATCTAGCACTGGTGGCCTTATCTCACAGAAGCACGTGTGTAGTTATAACGCGGCTCACAGTAATTGGAAGCAGATGTATTCCTAGCATATCGGTGTACGCGGTACTGTAGGGAGAGCGGTGTTGCTTTAATGGACCATGGTTAGGGCTTCCACCTGTCCAGGTTTTAACCCGGAGAGTCTGGGAATTGGCATCTGTGTTCCGGTGGAAATAATTGAATATCTACCACGATCCGGTGTATGTATGTTGAACTTCTTTCGCACCGTACGTAACCAACCTTGCTAATTGTTGTGCTGTGTTAAACATTGCAGTGCGCTGCTCAGTATTGTTCGACCTAGGCTGACTGAGAAATATGTCTGGGTTTAGTCTGTGGGAAAAAGGTGGACACCTGGGCAAGGTAGTAGTTTCTGCCTGGAGCTAGCCCTGTCCTCAATGTAGCACCATGCAGAGGACTTTATATGCCAAGGACTTTACACGTCCGTGCCCAGTGAGAAATCAATCGCGGGGCGTTCGCTGTGAGAGCCAGAGCAGAGATTAACAACTACACTCGCTGATTGGCTCATGTATTTTTCAATGCTGAGTTAAAGCACCTTTAATTAGAAGCCTGGGGCGTGTTGGTGTCTGGCGGACAACCCCTAGTAGATGCGTGTCTGGCTGCGGGGCCTGCCCACCGTACACCATTGGCACACTCTGGAGAACAAGTGTAGGGACACGGGAAGGTCATCAATAAAAGGGACAACTCTTTTGGGCCACAGTGAATTCACAGCTCTGGGATTACCCTTTTTTCTTGTAAAGCTCACACTACTTTGAGTTAATATTAACTCTTGTCATCATCATCATCACCATCCCACCACGTGGTGTAATTGTCATACCTGTACGTGCAATATATAAAGGCTTAGAAATCCTTGCCCGGCTGATGTGTGGCATTAAGGAAAGCGGTGTGAGTATCGGGAAACAGGGTCGGTGAGGTTTAGACGACTATTTTACCATTGCATTACTTTATATGTACAGTAATAAAGCCAATTTAAAAGATAAAGATGTATATGTCTTTGTATGTGGAGAGCGGTGGCGCAGAGGTTAGTGGCTACGAACCCGGAAACCTGAGTTCGAATCCCGTTCACGGCCAACACCAGTGACGATTATCTGAACTGGTCCTGGGCCTCCCCTAGGTCGACTCAGCCAAACATTAGTACCTGGTGCAATGTGTATACATTGCCACTCGAGAGACAAAGGTGGCCGGGCATGGTGCTGGCCACCCACCTCCTCAATTGCCATCCCAGCTTTCATTGGTGCTCGCTAACAGTACGTGCCCCAAAAGTATGTTAAGGCTATACAGACAGGGGATCTTAGTCTTGGTATGTATGTATAAGAACACTCACTAAAAGATAAGGATGATGCCTTGATTCACTGATTAATATCGATTCTTAAGTCACAACATGTGCCTCACATCACATGGATGAAAATTCATGTTTTTAGATTCACACATGTTGTATGTAAAGGGTTCACATAGCCTCTCTAGCTACTATAAGCTGCTACATTTATCGTAATAAAAAACAATAGAAATCGATTATTGAATTGACTCATGAGCTAGAGTCATGGTTGTTGATGAAAATGCATTTAATCGTGGGAGTAGGAAGGGATGGTGAATTGTTACACTCTTCCTGAAATCTAATCTTTATTGCATCAGTTGACAAGACGTAACAATCATATATTATAATAATGTATAGCCCAGTGCCAATCCACTTTTGGATGAAGGCCTCCCCATTCCAGGACCATTTCAGATGTCACTGTCCTCTGAAAGTATCTCTGGCCAGGAATCGAACTCGGGTGACCAGGAACCACTGCGTCACAATGACAAGACGTAATGATGAATATTGATTCATATAAATCATAGGGAATTATGATCACCCCAATTTTACATTGGAATAGTCTAAACAACTGTGAGCTCATACTTGTCAAAGTATGCATCTATTTTGAGTCCACAATGAACTTTAATGTCACGTTAGGGTTAAGCGCCTCCTTCAGTGAGCAATGGTTACTTTGTCTGTACTGGAAAGTCAAGCCCAGAACCACAGATATCTCAAGTGCATACCAGAAATATAGTTTTCTTAGTACTTGAATGCCGTGTATGAGCATATAAATAAATCAGTGACGAAGGTATACAGGGGGTCGTGGGTTCAATCTCGACCCTGATGCCTGTATATTTGGAGTTTGCATGTTCTCCCTGTGGTCGCGTGGATTTTTCTCCCGAGTCCTCCGGATTTTCCCTCCACATTTAAAAACATGGGTCTAGAGTATTTGGCTGCTATACATTTCCACGTGATAAGCTACTTCGTTGAGGTATCATTTGTGGCCAGATCGCTTCTGAAAAAGAGCAATATAGCTCAGTGGGCCTTAGCTAGCAAAATAAAAAGTTTAGTTTAGAATTTCCATGGGACTGTTTTGGCGTGTCCTATGTAATTTGCATGCGCTCTGCTAGGCTGTACTTTTTCGTGAAATTTAAATCAGCGCTGCACATTTACTAATTGCGCATGTAGGAAGCGGAGTGCCTTGTAAAAATAGCTTTCGAAGGGTTCACTTGTTTTGAAAACATTATGGACAGATTGCATCAACCCTCTGATTGGCGCTCTCACAGTGCAGCGAATTATGTGAAATATCTGCTCGGCTGAAAATTACCCTTCAAAAAAAAAAGCATGAGATATTTGAATGATGTTCCAGTTGTATTTCAAGACTTGGCTGCGTATAAAGCCCAGAGACTTCAACAGGCTGACAGTTACGAGGTGTTTTTGCATTGTCCGAGAGATATGTTATTGTCGCCCCAGTGCTTTTGTAAGCCCGTTTTTTTTGTGCGTTAGCTTTTTCTGATTTGCCTCCAATAGCGTTCACGGTGCATCACCTGAATCCTAATAAGGTATTATAGTGAGCACAATCTTCAGCAGGCATTGTGAGTATATTGAACTCGGATATTCTGAGATTGCATCACTTTTGCCATTTCGAGATTATAGAGTACAGGCATTTATATACGGCTTTGTGAATTACAAAACAAGTGCATTGTGCGCTTGAAATAAAGTTTAGCTTCACCTCGCACAGACATGTGCACACTTTTTTTTTTTATAAAGGAGACGCCCATTGCTTAATTGGCTGAAGTCATTCGTTGAGAGGAGCTTGCCTCCTCTGTAAAGTTTTGCATTGCCTATGATGCCCTTATTTAAAAAAAAAAGTACATTGGGTGTGATTCACAAGTCGGCAGAGGCATTTACAGTAAGCTGGGAGGAGCTCTCTTGTCTTTGCAAATTTTCCATGAGCACGCCACCACTACAGGGTGACCTGCCAGGATCAGTTGGCCCTCCACCATCATGTGACTCATACCCCATGCAGTCTTTATTCCATCATAAACACAACAATGACATGGTGCGCATAAAAAAGATGTCATGTATTTTTTAAATACGGGATTGGAATAACTGTCTAGCCCAGGTACAGTATGGTGGCGGCAGTGGTTTGCGCACTGCTTTACGAACCCAGCGATCCAAGGTTGATGCCTGGCCATGCTTGACATCAGTAGTGAGTTAAATCTGACCGTGTCTCTGTGTATATAACCCCCCCCCCTTCTCCAAACCATACCGACCAGCGTGGTGAAGAATATTCAAGCAAACCCCCTGACTAATGGTGCAGGGAGGCCTTCATCCAGCAGTGGCTCGACAAAGGGCTGTAAATCAGTGTGTCAGTGATACAATTACTCTGATTCGCATTCTATGAGAGTATTTTGTACTCATTGAGCGCAAATTTGGCAGCTGATATAGGTGATGGCGCTCACACTTTACCCCACCCATAAGCAATCCACCAATCAAATTACAAGAGGAAAACTTAATTTACATATGATCAGGCAAAGAGCAATTTTACAGACGATTTAATCAGCTCAAGCTGGATTTTAATTCAGCACCTAGAGGATGTGAGGCTTGTTTTGCTGATCTCTCCACTATACTCACAGCAGCTCCAAAGTAATTTCTAAATCAATTTAAAATAACATTTCATTGATTTCGCTGGTCGTGTGACTGTGTGCGCGTGTGCGTTATATTATGCGTATGTACCGCGGTCTGCACGCGTGTGTGTCAGTGTTTTGTGTGTCACCCTCCTCATGTGTCGACTGACGGTGTGACTGCGCCCCAACAGTCTTGTTTAGGCTAGAGGTGGGATCTTTTTTTTGTGTGTGTGTGTGTGTTGTGCGTCTCTTCGTACCGGCAGTCCACTGCACCTAGCGGCACTGGAGTGCCCGGAGCTGGTGGAGCTGCTGATCGAGCGCGGGGCCGCCGTGGACGGCGTGGACGCGAGCCGCCAGAGCCCCCTCTTCCAGGCCACGCTCGCCGGCAGCATGGGGGCCGCCGCCCTCCTGCTGAGCCACGGTGAGCCGAGCTCACGGCGGCCTCCGTTGTTACTCGCGCAAGCGAAGTTCACGCCCGGTGGCGTGGGCCACCGGGCGTGAACTCGTAGGGCGGAATGATTTAAAATCGAAAACGCAATTTGAAACGATGCGATTAGTAAATAGCAAAGGCTGCGATTTGAAAGGTCCTATTACTTTCTTATTTGAATTGGATTTTTTTATTATTATTATAACTTGATTTAACTGAGCAATTGTTCTATGTTTGATTGTTCTATTTCAATTAAAATATTTTAATAAATACATGTTGGAAGCAATTCATATCGTTTAAGTTCTCATCCTTGCATTAGAATATATAGAGCAGTTCTAATTCGGCGGTATCACGTGGTAATGCTCCATCACATGTTTTAAATCTATTACACAGTGAATATTGAACTGAAGCTTGACTTTAAAATATTTAATCGCAAATAAAATCGCATTATCTGTCAGAAAAATCGCAATTAAATATTTTCCCCAAATCGTTCAGCCCTAGTGTGAAGGGCAGTGGGCGGGGGGGGGGGCAAACGCATGGGGCACCAGATTTTCTACCTGTGCTGTCTCCGCCTCTCCGAGTGAAAAATCTACCCTGAGGTCTTTAGAATGTCGAGTGAAACCCCTCTGCGGTTAAAGTAAATGGGAACAATGTTGTTGATCGTCATATTCTTTAACCAATCATATTTCGAGTTTGACATTTTGGGCGTATTCTTTGACACGCCAGAGCCTTCTAGCTGGCCTAGCCGCCTACGTCAACATTGTTCGTTTGGCGTCATCAGAGGGCCAGTTCGCTAACCGAAGTAAAACTAGCTAGCACGTAACGTAGCATCATCTTAGATTGTTTTAAACTTTCTTTCGTGAAATCATGGGACCTCCTTTGCCAGTACCAAAATATGAGAAGAGGTTTTCCCCTTGTTTATGGCAACAAAACAGGTGCTAAGATGTTAAAGCACCAAACTGAAACCTTTTACAAGGAATCATGTCTGCATTAACCACAATCCTTGTGGTCAGAATGCAAACAAAAAACATACTCTCATAAAGTCACGTAGGTAGAAAAAAGAAATAATAAATCACGCCGTTTTGATCGCAACACAAGCAATCGTCATCAGGCAGATAGACACAGCAGCAGAACTGCTGAACAAGAAAGGTCTGTTGCAACAAGAGGTTACGTAGAGGTTTGAGGTGGGCGTCACCCAAGGGCAAATAGGCGGGGTCCGAGATGGAAAGGAGTCTCGTCACCGTGCAAAGGAGGACCGGCATGCCAAAGCAGGATCGGCATGCCAAAGGAGGACCGGCATGCCAAAGCAGGATCGGCATGCCAAAGGAGGACCGGCATGCCAAAGCAGGATCGGCATGCCAAAGCAGGATCGGCATGCCAAAGCAGGATCGGCATGCCAAAGCAGGACCGGCTTGCCAATCCTCCTTTGGCGCAGCTGTTGTGCGTGACTTTACCGAAATCCTCCTACGTGATTTTACCGAAAGAACCGAAAAAGTATGGATTCCTGCAGTCTCGAGAACTTCGAATCAAGATTGATACTCTGATAATATATGTGGCATTGTCTTTGAAACTGATTGGACCACACCAGAGACAGCTTTCTTTGGAGCCTCGTCTCAAACGGTGTTAGACCAGAGGATGCCAAAAGGCGAACAACACAAAGACAACGTCACTATCAGAGTAATGAGAGCTAGGGGTGAGCAGCTACATAATAGGGCCTCCTTTGCCAGTACCAAAATATGAGAATAGGTTTTCCCCTTTCTTCTGGCCTTTTGGCGTCCTCTGGTCTAACACCGTTTGAGATGAGGCTCAAAAGAAAGATGTCTCTGGTGTGGACCAATCAGTTTCAAGGACAATGCATATATTATCAGAGTATGTTTTTATTTGCATTCTGACCACAAGTATTGTGGTTAACGCAGACCAGATTTCTTGTAAAATGTTTCAGTTTGGTGTTTTAACATCTCAACACCTGTTTTGTTGCCAGAAAAAAGGGGAAAACCTAGTCTCACTTTCTTTCGTGACGTTTACATTTTTAGATGTAGTGCTTTAGATTTTTTTTCTGTGGGGAAGCCTGTTGAATCCTGATTGTGTTATTTGTGCTTTAGGGCATTTTGGCTTGCTTGGTGGTCGTATGAGTAAATGTGACTGGTTGTTGTGAGTTTGCTCTTGTTTCTTTGGTAATGAAATTGATTTTGGCTATGCGATGTCTATTTGTGATGCAGCGTTCTGTCATAATTCGTAATCGTGGTACATCCTTGATGGTTTCAGCCACCATGTATTCATGTCTCTGCAATTAGTGTATCTTAACTCTCATAGGTGTTGAGCTTCTTGTTAAAATCACTTTATTCCACTCGATAAAAGTTACTGTCACTGTGAATATGGGGTGGTTACGTCGAATGACAATAGTCTATAGCTCTAGTGTCATGGTGAGGTTTTTCGAAGGCGGTTTAATTGCGGGAGGATAGCGCTGAAGGCATAGGTGTAAAATACACGGCCCGCCACTACAGTCTGTTGAGGCTGTATGGGGATTCTTTGTTTTTGTAATTGTGAAAATGGACACGTGTATAGCTGTTTTAACAGCACGATTATTTATATATATGTTACTTCCACACGTTAAAAGTTGACCGAGGTTCAATTCGAATTGGCTAAGCCAGTACCCAGTAACAGGTTGTTAACCACCATACCACAGAGCTGCAAATGTGATTAATGAATACAAAATAAAACAAATAGTAACGATGCCTCATCACTTGCAAATGTAAGTGGCAGATGGCCTTGAGGTTTTGCTCTTTAATGGTCAAAGAGCAAAACCTCAAGGCAATGTCTGTTCTGGCAGGCCACCCCAGCTCACATCCCCAGCCACTAATAAGAACGTGTTGTGGGAACAGTTTTAAATAAATGAGCTGTCTTATCTAGGGAACATCCCGTCGGTTAACTTGTGGCTATAAAACATCCTGTCACATTGTTCTTAAAAGTAAGCTATTTCGTGCTGGTACAGTGAGGGAAAAAAGTATTTGATCCCTTGCTGATTTTGTACGTTTGCCCACTGACAAGGAAATGATCAGTCTATAATTTTAATGGTAGGTTTATTTGAACAGTGAGAGACAGAATAACAACAAAAAATCCAGAAAAACGCATGTCAAAAATGTCATAAATTGATTTGCATTTTAATGAGGGAAATAATTATTTGACCCCCTCTCAATCAGAAAGATTTCTGGCTCCTAGGTGTCTTTTATACAGGTAACGAGCTGAGATTAGGAGCACACTCTTAAAGGGAGTGCTCCGAATCTCAGCTTGTTACCTGTATAAAAGACACCTGTCCACAGAAGCAATCAATCAATCAGATTCCAAACTCTCCACCATGGCCATGACCAAAGAGCTCTCCAAGGATGTCAGGGACAAGATTGTAGACCTACACAAGGCTGGAAATGGCTACAAGACCATTGCCAAGCAGCTTGGTGAGAAGGTGACAACAGTTGGTGCGATTATTCGCAAATGGAAGAAACACAAAAGAACTGTCAATCTCCCTAGGCCTGGGACTCCATGCAAGATCTCACCTCGTGGAGTTGCAATGATCATGAGAACGGTGAGGAATCAGCCCAGAACTCAAAGCAGCTGGGACCATAGTCACCAAGAAAACAATTGGTAACACACTACGCCGTGAAGGACTGAAATCCTGCAGCGCCCGCAAGGTCCCCCTGCTCCAGAAAGCACGTATACATGCCCGTCTGAAGTTTGCCAATGAACATCTGAATGATTCAGAGGACAACTGGGTGAAAGTGTTGTGGTCAGATGAGACCAAAATGGAGCTCTTTGGCATCAACTCAACTCGCTGTGTTTGGAGGAGGAGGAATGCTGCCTATGACCCCAAGAACACCATTCCCACCGTCAAACATGGAGGTGTAAACATTATGCTTTGGAGGTGTTTTTCTGCTAACGGGACAGGACAACTTCACCGCATCAAAGGGACGATGGACGGGGCCATGTACCGTCAAATCTTGGGTGAGAACCTCCTTCCCTCAGCCAGGGCATTGAAAATGGGTCGTGGATGGGTATTCCAGCATGACAATGACCCAAAACACACGGCCAAGGCAACAAAGGAGTGGCTCAAGAAGAAGCACATTAAGGTCCTGGAGTGGCCTAGCCAGTATCCAGACCTTAATCACATAGAAAATCTGTGGAGGGAGCTGAAGGTTCGAGTTGCCAAACGTCAGCCTCGAAACTTTAATGACTTGGAGAAGATCTGCAAAGAGGAGTGGGACACAATCCCTCCTGAGATGTGTGCAAACCTGGTGGCCAACTACAAGAAACATCTGACCTCTGTGATTGCCAACAAGGGTTTTGCCACCAAGTACTAAGTCATTTTGCAGAGAGGTCAAATGCTTATTTCCCTCATAAAAATGCAAATCAATTTATAACATTTTTGACATGCATTTTTCTGGATTTTTTGTTGTTATTCTGTCTCTCACTGTTCAAATAAACCTACCATTAAAATTATAGACTGATCATTTCTTTGTCAGTGGGCAAACGTACAAAATCAGCAGGGGATCAAATACTTTTTTCCCTCACTGTATATTATAGTTAGATTTTTTTTTCTTCGCTAAATTGTCCACTAATTGCTACAACGGCCCAGTATGCACGGCTCGGGGACATTCACAATGCAGTGTAAAGGATGGACTGCTTTATGCATGTAAAAAAATAAAACCCTATTATGTAATATAATTGTTACGTTAAATATATTTACATGCCAATTTTATTTATTTAAAAAAAATCGCACAGTGTTTCAACGGTGCGTCACAAAAAAGAATGCACACGTAACAACAGAGGATGGGAAAAGATGGGGGAAAGAATTGCATCATATTAATCGCCACGAAAGGGCTCGAAATACAGATTCAATACGCAGGTTTGAAAGGAGGGAAATAAATCATAGACGTGAAAGTCAACGCACCTAAGCCAACAAAAACCTATCAAACGTACGCCTGATCTCTGCCTGGCTGGTA